GTGACAAAGTCTGAGTTAGAAAAGAGAAGTTGTGAATGTGTGGTGAACGACTGTCTCATATCGAGGTTAGATACTTGTTACAACTTCCAGCTGTTCATCACGCTGGGGCTTACGAGAGCCTCAAGGCCACACTTTCAACTGTATGTGTGCATAAATATGAACCCCCACATCCTTGAAGCCAAAATTATCTCTGTGTTTATGGATCAGGAGTCTGTTCACCAAAGGGCAAGCTTAGCTGCTGCTCTGTGTGAGTGTGGCAGTGACAAGCACACCTGCAGCTGACTGTGTGTTTCTTTGGAAGTGTTTTCATACTTAGGCTGCAAACAAAGTTGTTTTGTTAACGAAACTGCAAAACACATTAGAATGTAGCCTGACTTGGATGAGCTGATGTTTCCTGGGAGACCTGATCGGATCACAGGGATTCACAAAGGAGAGATGAAATGCAGTTCAAAGTGGTAGCCCATCCAGCTTGAGAGAGGGTGGATGTGATGCAGCTGGGCTTCAAAGGTATTGCCATATTGTCAGATAACAAGACAGGAAGAAGCAGGATGAGGAGAATTAAATCACGGCTCTGTAGCTGTAGGATCTCTAGTGGAACCTTTTGTCTCCTGCCCATCGCTTCTGGGCTTATTGGAAAGATTTTTCATCAACTGTGAATTAAAATTCCTATCTAACCTTTCATGCCTGTCTCTCTTATGAATCTGACTTAACAGATTCAGTTCTGGATTTCAAAGTGTGATATGGCAGTGACACCAGAGCTCCTGTTCTATCTGACAAGACAGTTCTTCCTTGCTTTACTTCACTGGTCTATAACCACAAGTTCTCATAGTTGTGCCTCTCTTTTCCTGGTTATGTTAAAGCCTGAGGAGAGGCCATTACATTGCGTGTAGGCAATTTAAGTTGCTTTATACTTTTAACTGTTCATTACCTAGTTAGAGGTTGGAAATGACCTTTCACCTGCCTGAAATCCAAACTTTTGGAAACACATAATTGGCCAAGGAATATACTGAAGTGAAACTTAAATGACTTGCAAGCCAGGAGAGGAGTGATGGTCGTGTACACATCATGACCTATTTTTGATAGTAAACTACCATTCACCTGCAGTGTGTTCACTGCTGATTTTATCCTCCCTCCTTCTCTCAAATTCCTGGGGTAGACTGGAATCAGTGATGTGAAACATTGCTTCTGGCAGCTGCTGTCTTGGCATGCTGTGGAGAAATATGCAGGGGGAAGAAACTGGGAGGGGAAAGGAGGAATCTGAATTCTAGGAATACGAGAAAGCTGTTGGCTCTCAAGAGGACGTGAGGAAACCTGAAGCTACTGTGACACTTCTGTCCGCAGTTTTAAGGACTGCCTTCTGTTGACAGCTTCATTGCAGCTTAATTTTGTTTTAATCAGAGCATTAGTCAAACGTTAAACCGTAACACCCTCGTTCTGTGCTCTGCAGTGCCCCCAGGCGACTCATTTCATCTAAACAGTTCAATAGCAGGAATTCCAGTTGTTGCTTTGAAATGCAGGTTTTATACTGAAAGCCGATGGAGGCGTTTCCTAGTGGATACTTGGTTTGAAAGTCCCTGTGATTCCCTCTGGCCCCGGAACATTTTGAGTGATCCCTAACATCACCTTTATATGTATAAAACCCACATTTGTATGTATAAAAATCAGTGATTTCTCTGACATGACTTTTATTCAGTCATTAGTTGCTTAATGTAAGTTGCAGTTGAATGATGCTCACCTGTCACCCAGGGAGGTGTGTGCACTTCTGCCAATGCACCCAGACTTCCCCAAACGTTACAGACGAGGTTTTACCTCAGGTCCTCGCACATTGGGGGTGTTGCAATGGATTTAGTGCAACTAGAAATGCAGCTTGTGCATCTGAATGCCCAGAGGTGGGACGTAGGAACTGAGACTTCTGCATGGCCACATCTGCTTTTGGGTCAGCCTGAGCCTCTGCTTGATTATGATCTGCAAATATCAGTCTCAGTATTTCCATGTGACAGCTGGACAAGCTGGTCTTCTGTGGAAATGTTCTTAAACAAAAAGGGCTATATGAAGGAGTGCAGTGACACTATTAATGCCTCAGTATGTGGCCCTGAACAAGTCATCCAGTGTGTTTCATCTTATCCATCTCTAAAAATTGGCAGCCCAGCAACTCTGTCGTGGAAACAGAGGTTCCAACTCCAGTAAAGTGTTTTGGAAGTGTGCGTGTTACAACACTTACTCAGGAACAGCTACAAGGCAAAAGGCTTTTTTTAACTATTCTTAATCTAGTTCTTCAAGTCTCTGCAGCTTGAAAGGCTCTTCCTCTAGGCTACAGAAATCTGTCTTTTCTTTTAAGAAATGCTTGGAGGACTTGGGAGCAGAGGGAACAGCTCTCGTTTAAGCTGAAAAATATACTCCCAGATGTTTGAGATAAAAAGGTTTAGAAATCTAAACCATGGAGAAATTGAAAATGAGAGTAAGAATGGATTTTTGTCTTACTGACTCGCATTTGTCTTGTTTACTTCACAGGTGGACGGAAAGCTTGTAGCCAGAGATGCTGGACACCCCCATTACCCCTTCAATGACCCCTATTAACTACAAGAAAATAAGGTGTTAAAGTAACATGCTCCTCTTAGTGCCCTTCCACAGAATAATTGTTGCCACAATTTGTCAAAAACACTGTCCAAATTTAAACCTTCCTTCCTCAGCAGGTTTACCTACAATGTACTGTTTCTAATCGACCTCCTTTCTGGAGATAATGTAGCTTCCATGTCAGAGTTTGTGGATTTATTACAGTGACTACAAGCTTGCTGCTGGAAGCATCAAATCTTTTGGAGATTAGGTAGAGTGGTGGAGTCTAAATCAAGTTCCAAACATGTCATTATCAAGCTAGGGCAATACTTTGGGTTTACTGCCTGTGAAACGGTTTTGAAAACTTTAGTTGTTACCATGAGGGGAAAAAATGAAAAAGAAGTGAAGACATGAAAGTATTTTAAGACTAAAAAACTGCTCAGCCAGCAACTTTGATATCTTTATTAATATTTTTTACACAGGGAACAAAGTGAAATGTGCTACAGTTGCACTGTGTCCATACCCTTTCATTAAAACCCAAGTAACCAGCCATGCCCAGCACTTTTATCCACTTCACTGTACTTGTGGGACTCAGAATTTTCTGTTTTCTCTTTCTTTTAATTTGCCTGTAGATTTGAAGAGAATAAAAGCAGACCCTGGAGCAGGCCTTCAGGGCAATGCTCTCTTGCTTGTCACAGTTCTGGGTTTCAACTCTGACAATAGCTCTGATCCTCCTATCACAAAAGCCACAAGAACTTTTCAGGAAGTCTTGTAGAAAAACATCCTGCCTTTCCTGTGATGTTGTCCAGTGTTTCTTTACCAGAGATGTCCAGTCTGAGTTCTGGAAGGTCACAAAATCAGTTCCTGACTATACAGTAAGAGCAAAGACCTGTCAGAGAGCTCCTTCCATTTTGATGTAGCACTTTTGGGTGCTGGCTGGGTTGCTGCCTGGGAGAGCTGCTCCTGTTTCCTGCTCTATCCCTGATCTGATGGTAACAGGGCAAGTCACTTGCCTTTCTGTGCCTCTGTTTTCTCACTTCCATGTCTCTGTGTTCCCCTCTGGCAGGGACTAATTTACTGAGTGATGATGCACTGCTGACCAGGGCTGGAACTCCAGCTCTAACCACAGTTTTATTTTGTTTCAGTCTCTTAATGAATCACCATCTGAGATAAAGGGCATGAGGTGTCAGTACCTACCCCTGCTCTGATGGTGGTACCTTCTGTGGCCTTGGCAACATTAACACTTTATTTTAGTAAAATAGGATTAATTTTTCCCATAGCAGTAGCAAACAGAAGAATAATCTTCTGTATTTGAATAGTTCAAAATGTAAAGAATTAGATACTTTAATTTTGATAACCTCATTTACAGTAGGCCTATTGTAAAGCTACATGTTCATTCTGAGTGTAATGCCTCCTCAAGTATTTCCTGCCCTGGGCCTCCCAGCGTGCAGCTGAACTGGAACAAACCTGTTTATCACTCTTTGTAGGTAAAATTTAAGGAACTTCAGTTTCTTGGTAAAATGTTTTCTAATTCCTGTTGAATTTACCTCAGCGGAAAAAGCCATTGCAGCTCTGTTAGGATTCTTTATGAGACTGGACATTTTCTCCTAAGGAAAATGAAATTCCTGTTGGGTTTTTTTGATTGTTCTAATCAAACACGGGTGAGTTTGAATATGGTTCTTGCTGCAGTCATTAGGGAAGCAATCCTGCTTCGAAGGCACTCTGTGCACTGCTCACAGCAGTCATCCTGCCAAGGACAGTGGCTTTCCTTGCTTGTGGTCCCTTTGCTTGTTTGCTTATCTTGAATAAATTCTGCGCTCATTGTATGACTTTGAGACTCTTTTCCCCCCTCTCTTATGTCAGGGCCCCAATTAACTTTGTCCGGTTATTTCTCCAATCAGGGGTAAGTGGGCTGGGAAAAATTCCCCAGAAAAGCAGATTGATTCTGTATCTCTGTGAAGCCCACACTCCCAGCTCTGTTGCTGCGTGCAGTGACATAGCGGGGTTGGAGCCGGTGAACTTTTATCTTGTAATAATAACAGCGGGGCAGAGGAGCCCGCGGGTCTGTGCCCTGAGGGGGCCGCGGCCATGTCAGCCCTGCCCGCTCGGGACCGTGTGCTGCGGCAGAGCGGAGCCGGAGCCCACGGACTGCCCGCCTTGCGCAGGCTGCGGGTGGCTGCTCAGGCTGTGCCGGGTAAGGGCGCCGGAGCCTCCCGGGAATACGCGAGGCCGGGAAAGAGGCTCCGGGAGGGGCGGGCTGGGGACGGCGCTGGACTGCACCTCCCAGCGTGCCCCGCGGGGCCCCGTCCCCCGGCTGGCACTACATTTCCCGGCGGGCCCCGCGCGGTGGCGCCCCCGGCATCCCGCGGCGGGGCGGGCGCGGGGCATACCGGGAGTGGTAGTCCCCCCGCGGCGCGCGCGCGCCGCCAGGCGGGCCGGGGCGTGTCCTCGGGGGTATATAGGCGGCCCGAGGGGCAGGGGGCTGCACTCTGCCGCCGCCGCCCCTCTCTCCAGCAGCTTCTATGCAATCCTCGGCCGTCGCCGCTCCCCCCTGCGTTGAGCCCGCGCCGGCTTCCGCGACTAGGTAGGCCTGGCTGGCCCCGGTCACGGTGTGTGTGTGTGTTGAGGAGGGGGCGGGGGGGTAGCAGAGGAGGGGGGGGCGCTTTCACGCCCGGAGGGGGTAAGGGGCAAAGAGGGGGGCGGTGGGCAGGATTTCCTTGGGGGGGGGCTGGGGGTGCTGGTCGGGATGTCGCGCCTGTCCCCTCTGCTCCCCCCGCACCGACGGTTATACCTGCATCCCCCCCCTGTGCTCCCCTCCCGCCGCCGGTGGTACCTTCCTCCCCCGTCCCCCCTCCCGCCCCGGTGGTACCGGCCCGCCCCGTCCCCCCAGTGCTCCGGTGGTACCGGCCGGCCCCGTTCCCCCCCCGCCCCGGTGGTACATTCCGCTTCCCGCTCCTCCGGCGCCAGCTGGGCCCGCGCGGCTCGCGCGGAGCCACCACGTGACCACGGCACGGCCGCCGCCATCTTTGTTGGGGGCAGCCGACGCCGCGGGGGGGAGGGGGGAGGGCATCACGTGACCCGCGGCCCGTGAGGAGCCGCCGCGGGGTTTGGCGCCAAGGGCGGGGGGCGGGGCCGGGCAGGGCGGGAAAGGCCCATTGTCTGCGCGGGGCCGGCCCGGCGGAGCCTCCGCACCCACCCCCGGCACCCCGCACACCCAACCCACCGCCGAACCCGGCACAGCCACCCGAGCTCGCCCCGCGGGGATGGACGCCTGAAATCCAGCGCTCCCGGCCCTGGTTTCGCACCCCTCCTGCCGGGGGTTGGGTGACCTCTTATAAAAGAATCACTCGATGTTTTGTTTGCAGGATGGAAGAAGAATTGGCAGCCCCTTCCACATCCACAGACAAGACAGACAGGTGAGGGAGTCGGGGCTGTCGGTCACTGAACAACATGAAATTCAGGAGTTACTGAGTAAAACACAAAAGTCACCCTTCGAATCACATGGTCAGGCTTGGGGTTTAACTGATGTGGGTGCTGTAGGTGCTGAAAACTTGTGCTCACCCGTGGTTTGCACAAATCTAGAGCAGTAAAACCATTTCAAGGACTAATAAATATGCAAATAGCAGCTGTTCTCAAAGTTCTTGGTCTGTGAGTTAGTGCTGGGGAGGCCCAGACTGGCATGTGACAATACTCTCTCGTCCCAGTCTGAGATACTGTGCTGGGCTGAACCTTCTGGAAATAAAGCTGTGCAGGATGGAGTGAATTGAAACTGAGATTTCCACCTTTCATTCTTCTCAGCTGCATCACGTTGTGCTATGAAAAGTCTTAACTTGGGCTTATTCTTCTTTTTCTTGACTTAGCTAACATTGGATTCTGGTGAAACACTGTGGTACTCGGTGCTGTGTTTCTGTGCAACTCCTAAAGTGTATTCCTTAGCACCCTTTGCCATACCAGATTCTGATACTTTTTGCAGTGGTTGGTTCAGATTTGCCCGTCTTCCCTTGGTTATTGGAACTATTAAGTTGTTCCACATTTAAACAAACAAAACCAAACGAATCCCTGCTGGTAGTTCCAACTGCTGGAACTCACGCAACTCACTCTTCCATAAAGCTGCTTAGATTTTGAAAGCTGTCTGTGAAATGACTGTGGAAACTTAACAGCATCCTGTGTTTGACTTATTTCCCCTCCTCCAGTATGGATGTGGACGGAGAATCAAAGAAACTACTGGGTTTGGGGCAGAAGCACTTGGTAATGGGAAATATTCCGGCTGCTGTTAATGCATTCCAGGAAGCTGCAAGTTTACTGTGAGTAGTAGAATGTTCTGTGTGTTTTTGCAGGGCTCGGGCTTCAGCTTGGCTGTTCTGATGTGGCTCACGCAAGAAAGATTGGGATTTTTACCTCACGTGTTTGTAATTTACGATAGAACTGAGGAGAGGACAAACTAAATTCCCCCAGGTGCTGGGCAGTGCTGTAGCTGGTGTGCAGCTTAGATGGTTTTTGTGATAATAATTGCCAGTGCAGTTCCCTAGGGAGGAAAAGGGCTTTGATAGTTTATTTTGCAGGGGTCTTTTAATATAAAAGCAATGAGATATTGTTATTTTCTAGTACTGTGTTCACTAGTCTTGATCAGTCTCTGAGAATGGTACTTTTTGGGTTAGAGACTAATTTCCTTTGCGTGTGTTTGAAAGCCACATGAAAGCTAAGTGAGGGGAGAGTTCATTATTAGTTTAAAGCAATGAAAGAGGAGGCAAAAAACTGATTTCTTCCTGTCCAGGAAAATTTAGCTTTCAAGTTCACATATCAAAACCTAAAGTAGGCACAGGCAAATAATTCTTCATTATTTTTCTAGGGGTAAGAAATATGGTGAGACAGCGGATGAGTGTGCAGAAGCTTTTTTTTACTATGGAAAGTCTCTCCTGGAGTTGGCAAGGTATGGTGACAGTTTGTCAGTTGTTGAAGAGTCTGTCTGGTGTAACAGGATTTCACTCCTTTATGGGCAGGGTTGCACTAGGATGTGATACAGCCAGGGTTGCCCTGGGTGGGATGGGCTGTGGCACTGCAGCTTGGGCAGTTCAAGTGGTGACATGTTACAAGAGCCAAGGGGATAACAAGCTTTTGTTCCCTTCAGAATGGAAAATGGTGTGCTGGGAAACGCCTTAGAAGGGATGCAGGTGGAAGAGGAAGGAGAAAAAGCAGAAGATGATTCTGCCTTGCCAGCTGTTGATGGTAGGTAAAGCTGCCTGCCCTGGTGTGGAGGCACCAAACTGTGTGTTCTTGCTGAAACGATCCAAGTTTAGTCCATTGGTATCTTGAGTAGCCTGAACTGTTCTGTTGAATCTCTTGGCAGTCTGAATGGACTTTTTTTTTTTTGTTTTGTTTTGTTTTTTAAGTCTTGCTTTAAAATGAGCAAAACCTATAAAACATCTGCAAGGAGCTGGTCACTGAAAGCATATGTAAAGGGTCACCAGGTGTCTGTGTCCTGAAACACTGCATTCAAGCTTGCTTTCCTAAGCTTCACCGCTGACTTGAACTGCTTTGTAACCTTGTAGCAGTACAGTGTGTGTAGTCCAGCAGGTCAGAGTCTCTGTAAAAAGTCCAGGAACAGTAACTATTTTATACTGCCTGCAGCTGGAGATGATACAGGAATTCCTGTCCATCCAGACTATTAAAACACTGGCACCTCTTGCTTAGCTGTGACTAAAATCGCTGGCACTGCTTGAGCGGCCGCTTGCAATGCTGGGGAAGGGGAAGGGGTTTGTTTAGCTCAAAGTGACTATGTTGGTTGTGTCCTAATTCCTTGTACTTGGAAAATGAAGCTTTTAAGGAGCGTCATCCAACTTGGTAACAAACCAACACACACACTGGAGGGTCTGAGGGTGGTGTTGTCAGTGCCCTTTAATGTCTTTATCACTAAACTCGAAGAAATGTTTATGCTTCCTCAATCATGTAGAAGAAGCAAGGGAGGAGTTGAGAGAACAGGTTTATAACGCCATGGGGGAAAAAGAAGAGGCCAAAAAGTCTACAGAAGAGTCTCCAGTACTGTCTGAGAAGGAAATCAAAGAGGAAGGTCATGAAACGAAAGAGGTTACGGAAGAGAAACCAAAAGAAGAAGCAACTGCTGACAAGGATGTAAAGCCTGAAGAGGCTGAAGAGAAAATGGAGGTTTCTGTGGGAAAAGAAGAAACTTCAGAAGAGCAGAAGCAGCAGGTGGCTGTGGAAAAGGAGGCTGTGAAAGAGGAGGCAGCTGTGGAGGAGAAGGAGGTAGAAAAAGAGCAGAAGACCATGCCTGAAGACAAGGTGGTCAAGGCAACTGAGGAGAAGGAGAGAACAGAAGTGTCAGACAAGGAGGCAGAGGCAGCTGGGGAAGAGGCTGAAGTGGGAGAAGTGGCTGTGGAAGAGAAGGGAGAGGTGGGAGAAGAGGCAGCAGAAGCAACAGATAAAGAGCCAGCTGTGGAGAAGGGAGAGGCTGGAGAAGGGCAAGCAGAGGCAGCTGTGGAAGAGAAGGCAGGAGCAGAAGAGAAGGCAGAAGCACAGGCAGCAGCTGCTGTGGGGCAGAAAGAAGCTGCAGAAGGGGAAGCAGAGGCAGCTGAACAGAAGAAGGTGGAAGAGAAACAAGAGCTAGTAGAGACAGCTACGGAAGAGAAACCAGGTGAATCTAAAGAGACAGAATCCTCAAAGGAACCTGTCCCCACAGAGGGCAAAGAGCCACCTAATGACCTGGAAGAAAAGGCTGAAGTTGCTGCTAAGGTAGAGAAAGAGGAAAAGAAAGATGACCTGATGGAAGAGGGTGAAGGTGCTAAGGTAGAAAAAGAAGAGAAAGATGACCTGATGGAAGAGGGTGAAGGTGCTAAGGTAGAAAAAGAAGAGAAAGATGACCTGATGGAAGAGGGTGAAGGTGCTAAGGTAGAAAAAGAAGAGAAAGATGACCTGGTGGAAGAGGGAGAAGGTAACACTGAGAGGAGAAAAGTATTTGTGGGTGGATGACTTGATGAATTTGGCTAACAATGGGTAAAAAGTGTTCCATTCAGAATTTTCTGTTTGCCTTAGAATAAGGAAAAGGCACAGTAAAGGGGCTCTTGAAAGACTTTACATCCAAGTAAAGTTTCAAGGAATAGTGAATAGTCTCAGTTTCTCTAGACTAACGCTTAACTAACTGCAAAGCAAATCTCAAAAGCAAACTGACAGCCCTGTGAAATGTGTAAGTAATGGCTAGGCTGGTGGAGAATACTGAATGGATGTTCACTTGCATGCATCTGGGTTTATTGCACTAACCTCCAAATAACTTGAAGCACAAGTTGCCTCTGGTTATGCCTGTATTTTATTTATGATGAAAAACCAAGAATAGCTGAACACATAACAAAATAGTGAATTCAGTTTTGGTGGATGGAAGGAACTCCCCATTTGAGTCTTTCTGGTGGTGAGACTTTAGTTGGCAAATCTGAACTTGATTTGCTGAAGGCTTATTGCTGCTCTCTAGTACAGTCTTCCAGCTGTCTAGCTTCTGCCCTCTGCTTCCCTGCTTTATCATAGCTGTTTTCAGGATTTTGTTGGAGCAACCCAGCAAGACCTGCACCCTTTGCTGCAGTATTACTGTACGTGGCTTTAGCAGGCCGGTGCCTTGTATTGCACAAGTTAATTGATGAGCTGATAATTGCAACTTTGCTTGTCAGAAACTTGGCTTCACAGCATGTGCCTTACTTCAGGAGAGGCAGATGTTCAGACTGAATAATTCTGGACACTGAAAGGGTTTGTTCTGCTAAACACAGTGAACGCTCAGTGGTGGAGCAGCAGCCTAACAAGGTGTCTGTGTGGAGAGAGTATGACTGAACATAAACCAAGAGTAGTTACCTGCTCATCGTCCTGTGAAAGCCTGACTATGTTCACATACTGCTGCTTTTTTTCCCCCAATTCTGCTAAGTGGGAGGACCTATTGAACATCCTGGCCTGGTGCTGTCATTGCAGACTCCTCCCACTACTTAAATTTTAACGTCCTGACATCTCTTCTGTCTCACTTATGAAGGAGGTGTCCTCATGTTGACAGGTTTGGCCCTGCCAGTGGTAGGTGTGTGCTTTTTGGGAGTTAGACTAATGAGTTCACAGGCTCTCTAGTCCCCACCCCATCAAGCTCCTGTTGTTCTGGAATTAGCCAGGGGTTGTGAGGCAGGAATTGTGTGACTTCAGCATTCAGATCAGCCAATTCTCTGAAGTTATTAGCCATGCTCCTTCACTGCACATTTTCCCCAAATGTTTTCTGCTGGCAGAATAGGTAATGTGATGCTCCTGCAGGGTGTCAGGAGTCAAATTAGTGCTACACAACAGGAGGTTCATTAATAACACTGTCACTTAAATCCCTGACATAAGGAACATGAACTCAGACTAATTTGTGTGCAGCTTGGCAGCTATCTTGCTGAAAATACTTGTTTTATGGAGGATGAAGTTCATCAGCTGCCCAGTGCCTCCGGGGCTGCTCAGGATCCCGTGGGTTCAGTGGGAGCTCACGGTGTATTTGTGAGAGCTAAATTCTGTGTGAGTTCCTGTTGTAGGTAGTAAGAAGTTTTAATGACAGACTACTTTAGTCAACAGTGCTGAACAGTTTCAGCAAGATGGCTGCTGCTGCTGCTGAGAATTTAATGTACCTGTGCTCTTCTTCCATCACACCTCTAACCTGTCACTGGAAGGATGAGGGTTGGATGTAATATATTCTGCCTGACTCCATGTCAAGCAAGCACAGTAACAAGTGTTCTCATCCATCTACTTGCCTTGTAGAAACAGAAGAATCTGAGGAGGAGGATAAAGAAAATGATAAAGCTGAAGATGATAAGGAGAATGAATTGACAGTGGAAGACAAGGTGAGGTTGCTGAGCTCTGATACTGCTCACGGGAGGGTGCAGTATTACCCTAAACATCATGTTATAAAAGTTCACTTGTGTTTTATTTAGTCCTATGTAGGAAATTACTTTTGAAAGGCAGTATTGCCTAAGGAAGGGCCAGTGTTGCACCTAGTCCACATTGTGGGATCTTGCTCAGCTGTGTCTGTAAACTTGGGTTTGTTCAGCTGCTCTGAAACAAATTCTTGTGGTCTGCTGAGTAACGTGGCCTGGTAGTGCAGGGGCAGTGTTGTAGCCTGTCACTAAAGCTGTGAGTTTATTCTCTGCTTGTTTTGTTCTTTCACTATACATGTTGAATGCTTCTGCTCCAGTAAGCTGTGATTAGCAGGGGAACGGATTGAGAAATGTGGTGCTGCTCAAAACCTGAGATGTACATTGATGTAGCAGTCAAAACAGCTGGAAAAATCTGAAGGCTTGTAGTGTGAAACTAAGCATTCTAGATAACTGTCTTGAAATGATTATCTGTCCCTTTCTCAGACTACTCTAATGAAGTTCAAAGGTTCATTAAAAAAAAAAGGTAGATCTGAATAGCACCTTAAACAAAGTCTTCCTCTTGAGATAATATTTCTGGGGAAAAAAATTAATGAGGCCATATCAACAAACTGAGTTTATGTTCCACTGAACCATCTTCACTGCAGGCGAAGTCTTGATTGATGCAATAACCTCTTCTACATATTATTGTTCTTCTTTTCCTTCCAGTGGTAAACTGTTTATCTCTCATGAACTTCTGGTCTTTACAGGAAAGTGAGGAGGATGAAATTGGGAATCTTGAACTAGCCTGGGACATGCTGGAATTGGCAAAAGTCATTTACAAGAGGTAAAGACTTGAGTTTTAATTTGGATATATGCCAGAGAAACTCTGTAAATTGGAGAGTGGCATAACCACTTACTGAATGTGCCATATTCTGATCAGGACTTGGAAACTATTTTTTTTTCTTGATTTAGACAAGAAACAAAAGAAGCTCAGCTCCATGCAGCTCAAGCTCATCTGAAGTTAGGAGAGGTTAGCATTGAATCTGGTAAGTAATGTTAATTCTCATGTGCAAAGTGTTCAGTTCCACTTTCTGACGCTGTTTTGTACTTTGAGATGAGCAGAGGTGCATTAAGGCTCTCAGAATGAAAACAAATTAGACTGATCATGGTAGTTGCAGCCATGTGAGAAGCTTTGGCATCAATGGATAAACTGAGTTGGTGCCTTAAATGGGATAGTTGTGCTTTTCCAGAGCAGTGAAAGAAAAAATTTGAGTAAGAAATGTGTTGTCAGACCAAAATCAGTCATGTGTTCCACTTTCTGAAGGGACCAAACCTTGCCTATGAACTTAAAAGAGACTTACTGAAGCAGAGAGTCACTGAGCTTAATTAATAGGAGGTGCCAATACCGTGCCATGTCAGAACATAAAGACTGCAAATGAAAAATGGTTGACTTAGACTTTCCAAAATCCTCAGGTATAGTGAGGAAAGACTCTTGTGTTACACAGCAGAAAAAAGGAGTGGGAAGCAAGCCCCAGGTTTGTGCCTTCTGATGTTTCACCTGCCTTTCATTTGAAAACATAATTTAATCTTGTTAAATCCAAGTGTACTCCTTCTCTGGGGCAAGCATTGGAAACGATCCAACAGGTTTCTGGGCCGGGGCTACAAATCAAGGGTTGTCTTATGTCACTGGAGCACCTTCAGCGGAGAGCTGGGCGGGAGGGCGGCAGGGGACTGTCCTTGGCTCCAGATCCGAGTTGCAGCTGGGACCTGTTACATTGAATTCCTGATAGCAGGTTGAACGGGAGGATTTAGAGCCTGGTTTGACTGTGCTGGAAGTAGACAAAACACTCGTGAGACGATAACTTCAGGAACTGGACTAGACGGTCCCTGAGGGGGAGGCAGTGCTGCCAGAGCAGCTCGGCCCTGAGCGCGGCTGCCGTGTTCTGACTGTGTGGGGTGTGACAGAACGCGAGAGATCCACTGAGGGCTTGGGCTGTTTGGATGATTAGTGTCTTTTGTGAAGACCTTGTGGCTTTTCTCCTGTAGAAAACTACACACAGGCTATAGAGGAGTTCCAGGCCTGCCTGGCCCTGCAGCAGAAGTACCTGGAGGCTCACGACCGTCTGCTGGCCGAGAGCCACTACCAGCTGGCCCTGGCCTACCACTACAACAGCGACTTCGACGAGGCCGTCCTGCAGTTCGGCAAGTCCATGGAGGTCATCGACAAGAGACTGGGTAAGTAAGTGGATTTCTAAAGCTCTATCAGAGCAGACTTTGTTTAACTGAGGTAGGTGTGCTCGTTGCCTGCCCCGGGGTGTTCGCTGCTCTGCAGGCGGACCGCACCCACAGCAGAATTGTGGAAACTCTGTGTGTGTTAGCAGATAGTTGACTCTGGGTGTTGATAACTGGACAGTTACTTTGTCTCAAGGTGTTTTGCCCTGATAACTGTTTCACCCCAGCCATACTGACTGAGAGAATAAAGCAAGCAGAAAGTGGGTCCCCTGAGGACGAGAAGGAGATTGAAGAGCTGAAGGGATTGCTTCCTGAAATCAAAGAAAAGATAGAAGATTCAAAGGAGTCTCAAAAGAGTGCAAGAGTAGCCGAGTTGGGACTGAAAGCAACTCTGGTGAGTGTGTCCTGTGGTTTCCTTTTGACCCAGCATTCTTCCAGTGGAACTTTAAGTAAATCGGTCATGGGAGGAGCTTGGACTTGATCAGGGGCTGGTGGTTGCTCACAGGTGTTACAGGCTGTGATTCTCAGAAGGAAACTGAGGCAGCTGACATCTAAAGAAAGGATATTTAGTAAGTACCTTGACAGTAATTGTTCCAAACTAAATGGGAATTCGATAGGTTTCTGTGGCATTTAATGTATCAGGGCTGGAAATGATGGGTCAGGCAAACGTGGAGCAGCTGTTGTCTGTCCTGTGTAGAAGTGCACAGTACAGTGCTGGGACTTGAAGGGGTTGGGCTTTCTGTCTCCTGCTAAGCTTGCTTGAATGGTCTGCACACAATCTGTTCACTGCTTCTTCTGCTTTTCTTAAGATTGGAACTACATCTGGCTTTGCACAAAGTGAAGACAGCGGTTCTGTTTCCACAGTAAGTTAATTTAAGATGGATGTTGTTAATTCCTGTCTGCTCTAAGGATTACTGGTTACAGTTGCTCATGTGTCAGTGTCTGTCTTGTAACAGATTCCAGTAAGAAAAGCAGCTGATGGTGCATCTCAGTGTGTTACAGACATCTCTCACCTAGTCAGGAAAAAGGTGAGTCCAGAAATGACTTGTTGAACAAGCAGTTCAAGTACCACTGTCTTGCTCTTTGTAATTGGATTTCTTGTCTTAGAGCTTTTTTTTTTAACTTAGTTGTATAATGGGAAAATACTTTAAAAGTAAAACCAGAAATAGTGGATGAAACTCCTTTCCACTGGGAGCCAATCAGTCTGGGGACCCTGACCTCCAGGAGACCATTCTTGGTGGTTCAGCACCAGCCTGACCATGGTGTAACCTCTGACCCTTTTGTGTGGCTTCTGCAGGTGCTCTCTGAACAAGGGCTTCCTCTGCTGAGGACCCTCAAGAGCTGCAGGCTCACCTGCAGATCTCAAGGAGAAAGGGCAGGCAACCAGGCTGGGCTGGGTTCCCTTCTTCCAAAAGGAAATGGAGACTTGGGCTTAATAAATAGCAAAGCCAGAGCGATGGTAATGATAAAATGGAGATGAGATGTTGAGCACTCTGTTCCTTTAAAGGTGTTGTGTGTTCTCTGGAAATGTTGATATAACTGAGAGTATCCCCTGTAGGAACTTTAGTTTTTAATGTTACCTGTGGCCATGGCACAGCCTGGCCTCTGTTCCACTGGCTTCTGTGAGTTCAGGTGTGCCTGGAGTGACTTGGAGCTGCTTTACACGGGTGATTTCAAGTGTTGTAGATGCCCTGAACCTACCCTGGAACTGTTACTGGGCTCAGTGGTTGCATTTCCTTGCCAGAGTGTAATCAAGGATAATTCAGCACTAGAGATTCTGGCACCCAGTGTCTCACTGGAGATTGCTGTGGTTGAGACCTTGGAGCCAGAGCCTCAGAGCTCTGTTAAACCCTGGCACTGAGGTGTCTGTCCTGAGCCTGGCAAGCACAGCTTGGGTAGATAATGTGCAGTGACCTCTAATGCTAAGTTTTCTCAAAAAGATTAAGGCTTTAATTTGTACTTACTGAAGACTATAAACAATTTTGTCTTCAGAGGAAACCAGAGGAGGAGACTCATCAGGGAGACAATGAAGCCAAGAAATCTAAACCAGAACCGGCTGTCAATGGTGGTGGTGGGGATCCTGCCCCCAGTGGAAATGAGGTTGCAGAAAAAATGGAAGAGGAGGTGGGCAGCTGAGCCAGGAGTCTGGGCTGTGCTCTTTATTTCATTTTCCCCCACTCTGTTCAGGGATGGTTCTTTTGCCTGGTAGATGTGCAGGTTTTATTACCTGCTGGCCTCCACAGGGCTTCTCAAGATGGGATGAGGAATATTCCCAGTGGGCAGGATGCATGTTGTACTGTGGTGCCTGACCCTGTGTGGGCTGGACAGACCCAACTGTGGAGCCTTGTCACCTCTGGGGTGGGACAGAGACGGGTTCTGGGAGTTTGAGCTGGGCTAAACTCCAGCACAGGGTCTTCCCCCAGTTCTTCATACTCCTGGGTTTTATTACCCACCCCTGGGCTGCACTTGTTCATGTCAGTGCTGTGGGGTAGTATTGGGCTCTGGAGACAAGCAAAGCTCATGTAGTCAGTTAAATCTTCAAATTACAGAACCCTTGGGCTGCTGCATGAGTTGGTGCTGTAAGGCAGTGTCTTGGTTTTTTAAAACAAACTCTTCTCTTCTCTTTTAGACAGAGAAAAGGCCACAAGCAGAATCAGGGGCTGCAGTTGAAAGCACAGTATGATAATTCTTTAACCTTGGACACTCCTCTCCTTACAAGGAAAATGGTTTTGTATATAGTGTATTTTTTCACTTTTTGGCAACTTTTGTATGACTTCAATAAAGATTGTAAGCAAATAGTCCCTGTCTTGACCTTCCTCCTGTGCCAGGTTCCAGCCACTGTTCCTGGCTGTTCCCCTGGAGTGCAAGTCTCAGCCCTGGCCCAGTGCTGGGCTCTTGGTCCCTTGAGCTTCAGCATTTCCATCCACATCTGCCTCATGAGGCAGGAGAAGGGAGTGGGAGTGGGCAGGCAGGGGGAAGAAGAGCAGGGAATGAAATTCACTGTGGTCTTGTCTGGGGACAGTCTAGATGTGACACTTTTCCTTCTCCTGGGGTACCAGCTCTGTGCTCACAGGTGGGGCTGTGCTGGGGTTCAGTCTCAGCTAAGCCTGCTGTGGGTTCTGGGGGTGCCTCCCTCAGTCTCGAGCAGCCTAAAGAGGGGAGGGGGAGGCTGATGAAGAGGTTTGTAACATCCTGGACATTGTTGGATGTGTATTTTTAGCTCTGCCCCTCTGTGCAGGGAGAGCTTGTGGAGATGGAGGGCAGGGGTGGTTCCAGGCAGGGCATGGCTGTCCCCCGGGGCAGCCTGTGTGCCTGTACATCCCCAGGTGGGGAGGGGAGCCTGCTCTGGGACACTGTGTGTGTATAAACATAGAGAAAGGCCAAGAAGTGAAGAGCAATAGGCTGAAGCCATTTATTAAACACATGGCCTGTGACACTTAGGAAAGCTGGTGCTGGGTTTTGCTGGGTTACCAGGGCTGAGCTGTGCCTGCTCCTGGTCAGGCTTTCCCTACAAAAGGCTGCTGGTGGGGATGTGCCCGATGGAATGAGCTGAGCCATAGGGAAAGGGAAGGTGATTGTGCTTCTCTGCCTGTCCCCAAACTACCACTGTGAGCAGGATGGAACACTCATCTGGCTGTGGGCTCAGTCCTGGGGCACAAAGGGCAGCCTGAGGTGGAGGCTGAGCTGTGTAAGTGCCTGCTGGCTTAGGGGTCAGCCTGATGCTGCCTGTCCTCTCCCTGCTGCCAAAATGCCCAGCAGGGATCCCAAATGCTTCCCCCTGCCCCAGCACTAGGTTCCTGGTGCCAATTGCACAGCCAGTCCCAAACCCCATCTTGCTGAACTGAAGTTCAAACACAGGTTTTGCCATCCTTTCATCACCCTAACAGTTAAAAAAGCCCCGATTTCCCACTCCAGGGTGGTGAGGGGATGCCAGGGCAGTGTGACCCATTCCTGGCTCACCTTCGTGGAGGTCTGTGTTGTTCTGGGGGCTCCTGAGCAGGAGGAGGATCCTCCAGGGCCACAAAGGGGCTGAGGGGGAGGCCTTGAGGCACATGGCCTGTGGGGCTGCCTGGCCCCAGTGCTGGCCCAGGGGGCTCCTGGGAAATGAAAAAAGTTGTGTCAAGGGCAGGAGGGTCCTGACACTGTCCTGCTACAGGCACAGGCAGGAGCTGCCTGGCCATTCTGTCACAGCACTGGGTGTGCAGAGCAAATTACACCCCTGCTCCCTCACTGGGAAGGGACTCGCCTGCCCCGGGGGCCCTAATCCCAAGCTGCAGCCAAGGCAGCTGTTCCCAAATCTTCCCAAGCTTGTACCTCCACATCTGTCATCCTATGCCAGTTGGCAGCCCTTCTCCCATCTCCCTTCTCCCCTCCCTGGAGAGCTAGAAATCGCCTTGGGCCAAGGCTCTTACCATAAAAAGTTCTGGCACAGCCAGGGCTGGTGGCAGTGAGGGGGCCATAGCGGGTGGGAGGATGGGTGGGGGCAGCCGTGGCCCCGCCTGCTCCGCGTGGCATCGCAGCATCCCCACCTCTGCCTGGAGCCGGGCCAGCTCCTCCGAGTGCCGCTGGGCCGCCCTCGAGCCTGGGGACAGGAACTCCTTGCTGTAGGGTTTACGCTCCCCCAGCAACCCTTTCCCAGCATGTCACTGGGCAAGTGTTCAGGATCTGGGGGAGTCGGGACTCTCCCTTCTCAGTGCAGAGACCCCACCCTGGGCTGTGCAGCTGCAGCCCCCCAACTTCCCCATATTTCCATGAGTCATGTCCAGCCCAGAGGCTCCGATCCTGCAGCCCCAGAGGCAGCCAGGGGCTGTGGGGTGCAGATGGGGGACCCCCTTCCCCAGGACCCATCACCTACCAGCGTCAGCTCTCCTCTCTCTCCTGACCTTCAGCGCCAACACTTCATCTTCCAGACGCCAGTTTTCCAGCTCCACAGCCAACAGTGCCGCATCCAGACCCTGTGTGCCAGTGCCAGGGGGCTCTGCTGGCACAGCCGGGAATGCCTCAGGTGCTGGCTGTGGAGTCAAGGTCCCTGCAGGGAGACAGGGCTGGGGTTGGGCCTTACCCATCCTCCTGCCCCTGCGCAGCCCTGTGGTTCCTTTCTCCAGCACCGTGGCCTCCAGCTGGAGGTGGAGCAGCTGGTCCAGGATGGCCGGGTCATGTCCCCCGGCGCGCAGGTAGGACAGTCGCAGTGCCCTGCCAGAGCCCCGGATCAGCCATCGCTGGGCTCAGCGGGACACTGCTGGACCTGCCATGGCCCACAGCCCCTCACCTGGCCTCGGCAGCGAGTGGCCCCGAGGGTGGCAGGAGGGTGTCGAGGTGGAGGGTGGCCCTGGGGAGGAAACAGGCAAATGGGGGGGTGAGGAGGCCAAAGGCTCCTTGATGGAGAGCACCCCACTGGGCTCTCCCCCGGAGGTGGCAGAGCTGGGGCTCACCTGTGCTGTGCCGCTTGCACCTGTCTGAGCTGCTCCTTTGGGGCCTGAAGGACCTGGCCCAGCCCCAGCTCCCCCTGCTCGGGCTGAGGCCCCCCAGCCCCTCTGGCCCCCAGTGCTGCCAGCTGCCGGCACAGCCCTGCGGGAAGGTGAGGGGACAGGGGGGCTCAGCAGGGCCTCCACAGCCCCACTCCCTGAGGGTTGCTGCACCTCACACGTGCCCCCCATCACCCCTAAACCGCTGCCGGTGCCTACCTTCCCTCTGCTGCTCCAGCTGCTGGGTCCTGGCCTGGATCTCGGCCATTTGGCTTCTGTGGGCCTCCAGCAGCTCCTGTGGCGGCTGCTGCTGCCCCTGGGGCAGGACCGGCTGCTGGGGGGGCTCTCCCTCCTGCACAGGGGGTTCAGCGGGCAGGAGGGGCTGGATCCACACCAGCCGCGGGGTGTGGGGAGCCGCTGGGGTGCTGGTGCCCACAGGGGCAGGGGGTTCACTGTACCTGCACTGTGGGCGTCCTGGAAGCGGGGTCGGCCGTGCGGAGCAGGGCCCGCTCGCGGGGGGTGAGCACGGCCCCCAGGGGAGCCCCCCGTGCCCACCCCGGTCCCCGCTGTCCCCACACAGCTGCTGAGACCCCGGGGAGCTCAAGGCGATGGTGGGGCTCAGGGCCGTCCCCATGCAGGGACACCCCGACCTCGTAGACACAAATAGGAAGGAAAGGGTGAAAAAAAATCCCCCCCACTCACTAATATACTTTTCTGCCTTTGGTAAAATAATCACCAAAGGCTGCCGGTGTGGTGCAGGGGTGGGAGAGGGTTTGCCCCAGCTCAGGCCAAGCTGGATCCAGCAGTGCTGGCAGAGATGCTGTTTCCCAGCCCAGCACCTGTCCCTGTCCCTATCCCCATCCCTCCTGCCCCTCCCCGTTCTGTGACAGACCCAGCTCCGCAGTACCGAGGTGTCCCGTGGCCTCCCTGCCGTGCCCGGCGCCCCCTCCTCAGGCAGAGGGTTCCCCCCATGGAGGCAGGAGCTGGCGGGCTCCGGGATCCCGAGGCACAGCTTCTCCTGGTGCGCCCGCAGGAGCTGCCGGGAGCTGAAGGCCATGCGGCAGCGGGGGCACGGGAAGCTCCCCATGTCCGGCACCCTGGAAAGCAGAGCGGGTGGGGGTCACTGGGGGGGGCACCCTGCCAGGGAGAGGGCTGGGTGCGGGCACAGACCTGCCGGCGGCGGTGCTGGCGGTGTTTGAGCCGCTGTTGCTATGCTGGGCGCTGGGCAGGGCAGGGAGGGCGGCCGCACCCCCGGCCTGGGTCATTCCTGCTGTTTACCACGGGCACCGGAACGGGAAAAAAACGTCGTTTGGGCACCTGAGCAATCCACAAAAAGCAAGAGGAGGGAGGTCCCGCAGAGCTCCCCCGCCCCTGGTTACAAAACCTTCGCTGCTCCGGGATGTCCCGAGGGTGCTCCTTTTCCGCCTTGCAGCAGCTCCCCCACCCGTGCACCAGAGGATTTGAGGAGGAAACTTTGCAGAGGTGAAACACCTCCTTCTGCCCCTTCTCCATGCCGCAGGTGTCCAGGCCCTGCCCTTGTTCCCAAAACAAGCTCCCCTCCTTCCATCCTGGCACCCACCTGTCCTTGCAGAGCACCCACGGGCTCTTCCCAGGCTGCTGCAGGTCCCCCCCAACCTCACTGACAGGGATCCTGGTCAGGGACGACTCAGGAAAAAGCTGCCGGTTGTTGCACGGGGATTTGCTCAATCAGGCTCACCCAGAGGCTCACATTGACACTTCCAGAATTTCATGGATACTTAAATCCACAGGAGGGGTTAGGGCAGAGGAGTCACTCTGGCACGGAACAAGGAGCTCCCAGCACACACACACACAGGCCCCCACTGGTCCCACAGTCCAGGCAGGGATTCCTCAGCAATCCAGTTCCTCTCTTCCAAATGGCTGTTAGCACGGTTTTAAGGTGAAGGGGCTTTTAAACTTACCCCATTTCTTGCCAACAGTGCACACAACAGATCTGCATAATTTGATTTAAATGGATGTAGGAAGTTTATAAAATTTTTAAAAAATGGATGGACTTCTCCAGCCAAAAGCCATGTTTGATGGGACCAAAGCACAAGGACATTCAAAAAGAACGAGACAAGCTGTAAAACGTCTGTCTTACAGGAGTCCCAGCACTTCCCCAAGCATTCCTAGGCAGACCCAGCCCCTGGAGCTCAGTTTCCAGAAGGCAGTGATGAAGAAATGCCCCGTTGCTCCTCTCACCTGGGGTTCCCTGCAGAGGCAGCATCACCATGGCAGTGGGAGCTGAAAGCAGAGGCAGCACAGTTACACCTGATAATGCCGACAGTGCTCCCTCGAGCCCAGACGAAAAGATT